AAAAAAAAAAAAAAAAAAAAAAAAAAAAAAAAAAAAAAGCAGTCGGCGTTTCTCTGGGGCCAGTTCCCTTGGAAGTTTTCCTGGGGTCGGCAGGTGCGCTGATATTTGACTCACATTGATAAGATTGTAGACAATAAAATGACGCACCTGCCGACCACCGTTTTCGGATTGTCTGAAGTTTCGTCGTGTAAACACCGGGATGAGAGAGAGAGAGAGAGAGAGAGAGAGAGAGAGAGAGAGAGAGAGAGAGAGAGAGAGAGAGAGAGAGCAGTCAACATTTTTCTTTCTACACAAGTTCGTACGTATTGTCTATTGACAATGTTTCCCGATTTTTTTCCTTCTGGTGCAATAAAACAGTTAGCATTTCAAGTAATAGTAAGAGTGTGAGGATAATTAAAAGCGGAATCGATGTCTGTCTTVGTTAGCAAGTTTGTGCACCGATATGAAAATGCAGGACTGTGCAGAAAGCCAAATTGTATCAGTTATGAGAGTTATACCTTCAAGCATACGATGACCCATAGAAATCCGTCAGAGTGTGTACTTATTAACGTAGAATTGGTCTTCCTTTCGCACAACAAATCGGCCTGTTCCCCATTGGGGCTTCTTGAAATATGAAACTATGTGTGCAGTGTCGATTATAGTATCCGTAGAAATTACGCTGTTGAGCTGTCGATCATTTGCTTTCTCCCACTTCACAACCTTGCATGCCATAGTGACACAGGACTCGTTCCTGATTTCTTTATACCAGTGTACATATGCACACTGGAATGTGTGAACCTATTGACCTCGCTGACCTTGTACAACGAAAAACATACCCACTGATGCATACCACAACTCTCCTTCTACAACTCTGACACATACATCGCTGTGGACAGGCCGACCATGAAACCGTGGTGAATCTCTGGCTATTTGTACCATTGATCCCCTGATACTTCCATCATCAGTGCATGCAATTGCAAGGTGCGTCCTTGTTTTGATCATTGTCTCGTCCGTGAGGGGATGGCATTCGTTTTCGTTGAAAAATACTGATAACGCAGCTCTGAAATTCTCTCTATACGATATGTTCTCGAGAGTGAATGCATCCTCTTCACTCCTGCCTTCACTAGCGTTTGCGGAGACATTCTGTAAAGAAAACCATTTCAAACGTTGTGTGGCTTTGTTTCTTGCAGACAAGGTGTTTGTTCCACTTGTCTCGGCATTGCTGACAGCAGACCAGTTCTCGGTTTCCCTGATCTTTTGTCGACGTATACATTCTGTTTCGTCTTGCAAAGCGATAGATCGACGAACATGGTCTACCATCTGCGTTGTAGCCTGTCTGCGATTTGATGATCGATAAGGATCTTTGCAAAATGTAATACGATGATGCTCCCATACATTGGCTGCGAATGTGTCCGGGAGCTCTGACCGCTCCATGCATGCCCTGAACTTGTTGAGATCATGCATCTTTGGCAATTTCCATCGTGATGCTTGATATCGGCCCATGTAAGTTTTCACATAATACATGAAATCATCTAATAATTCGTCAGAGTAATCGAGAGAAGCTACTGTGTGCGACGCCCTCCGAAAAAGTGCCATATAAAATTTCATAAGCTTGCAGAAACACTTCGTCAGCCGCTTCCCTGCTCTACCCTTCACTACATTGTGAACCACGAACATGACCACGGTCATCACGGAGCGATTCTGCTTCGCCTCGAATCTACCTTCTCTGGAAAAGAAATCACTATCTGTGCGTACGGGCAATACAAGTCCTGGATATGTGTTTACGCATCGTTCGCTTATGCACTGGAGCCTTGCATCTAGTTCTGCTAATATTTTCGTGTTAGGAGTTCCGGGAAGTTTTTCTCTTGCGGCCTCAGGAAAGGCATCTATCATATGTAAAAATATTTCATGCTCTATCGTGTGCATCCTATCCGGTTGAAGTGTCAGATGATAATCCATCAACGGGTCGTCGCCCTCTKRCCCTTTGTAARACCCCCACAACCCATTCGCGGAAATGTATCTGTGTAATCCCCACTCTTGAAGACGCTCCTGTGCAGCATGACGGATGTCGGGAGTCGAAGACATTCTGGAGTCATGTATCACTGCTTTGTCAGACTCCTCTGATCTGTTGCTGCTTTCAAAATCAGCGTACATGTCCTTGTCTGACTTTGCAGCCGTGCAGGTGGGGCAGCGACCAAATTTGACGCCTGCTAGCGCACACCTCTCTGGATAATCTTGGATATAGTTCAGAAGGAAAGGATGCACCGTGATTTCACCGAGGTCGTGTGTACGAACGGCGACACCCTCGTGTGATGCGTCCTTAGCAGCCTGTAAAACCATGGTGAAAGCTTCATGGAATACTACGGTTTTACGTTTTCTGAACTGAGAGGATTGTTGGCCCCAACCTGCGTCTTTTGGCCTGTGTGCCAGAACTGGCAAGTACGCTAGAAGTGTGGCCTCTGTTGCCCTATCGGCAACACACATCATGAGTGGATATGCTATTTGTTTCATTATGCCATCCATATGTGTTTTGTCTGAGTACAACGAAAAAGGAACCACATACCTTTGTTGCCCGCTCATGTCCAACCCCTTCGCTGTGCGCATTGTGTTTTGTACGTGCCTCCACATCGATGTCGTTATGGCACTTGTTATTGGACTATTCTGATCCGTCTCTGCCGGAACTTCTATGACTAATGTGTTCTTTGATCTGAATCCACGTTCTAGTACCGACAAGAATGTCGTCTTCCAATCACGGAACCACAACTTTGCGTGCGCATCTTGTGGCCAATCTTCCTTCCTCATATCTACTTCTTGCCATGCGTTAACCCCTGCTTGTCGACCTGTCCACTGTAGACACTCTTTTCCTATGCAAAAAGGTATCGAGCAAGGATCGAAGTGTGGATTACGGATATTGCAAGTAACGCATTCATATCTGTGAGAGATAATCCTAATCCCCCTCTTGCCGATAACATCATTGCTGCTATTTTTCGTGCAGAGTCATAATGTATAACATTCTCATTATGACCTGTGACCCCGTTGTGTAATTCACCATCGTCAACATTTTCATTGAAAGGTTCACTTCCTGTTCCCGGATGGTTCCTTGAACGTCTGCTGGAGTTGGGTCATCATCTCTGTCATCCCCTGTCGGTACCATGTTCTCATCACGACTAGATGATGATGCCAGGTCAATGATACTTACAGGGCATCCTCGTGATCGATGTGAGTTCATAGTTTGTGTACTTCCAAATGCACGACCGCAATCACATGTCATGTATCCGTGTGCCGCCATCGTCAACTTCAATTCCTCGTACTGCACTTTCTTTGTTACATATTATGTGTGAGAGTCCTGGTAATATATGAATGGAAAAGATCAACCTTTTCATATCAGTTGTTACTCGTCTACGAGGTCGACAATTTTGCAGTGCAGTATTTTTTTTTTTTTTTTCCCCCTGTTATTTCGCAAACATACACATCCATATCTTTATGATGGAGAGCAATTCGGTTTTTCGTCCTCGCAGATACGACACACAATTCAAGTTCCCGCTCATGTTGCATCTCCTTTCAAGCCTTCACATATATTTATAGTATCAATTTCGTTGTTTGCAGAACGGGTAAAAAAAAAAAAAAACTAAAAAAAAAAAAAAAAAATTCCCCCGTTACTCCTCGCCGCCACGTGCATTTATGAACACACATGCGATACAACAAGGACCAGAATCATACGCAGAAGAGAGGCCTGAACCATATCTTGAAGGTGAGGTTATAAGGGTCCACTTTCGTCGTATGCGTAGCAGGGTCGGCATGTGCGCTGTTTTTCGACTTTGAATGACGAGGTTGTAAAAAAGAGAGTGGCGCACCTGCCGACCTTCATGTACAAAAGGAACACAGAGCGGTCCATGGGCAAGCGGGTACGAAGACGAGGAAGATGAGCAATAGCCATCGGATCATGCTTGGAACGAAAGGCATACACGACGAACTCATGTCATGTTGTGCACATCCAAACTCTACGAGAGGGCATGACATACCACATCCTCACTGACACACAGTTCCCATCACATAAGTCAAATAGCAAGGTGAAGATTCGCACACAGAATTGAGGTCATGCCCGTTACGAGGCGACTTTCACTAAAGTTATATCTCACGCATTCCAGATTTATGACGTGTTCGTCGGCGATCCAAAAAAAAAAAAAACGAAAAAAATAAAAATAAAATGATAAAATAAAAAAAACAAAAAACAAAAAATTCATAAAAATTTACTTTCCAATTACAAATAACTGTGTTCTGCTTATAACAGTGGCGACATGTTTGATGGAAAAAAAGAAAAACAAATAGAAAAAAGAAAAAAAAATAAGAGCAAAATACAAACAAAAAGCTCGTTTATCCTCCTCGTGTTTGAAATAATTACCAAATACAACATCGAACTTTTAAACCTCTATTACAAAAAGTTTCTACTAATTTATTATGCGTGATCTTTGTAATCCTTGTCAATGACAAAATGATCAACTACCCTGCACCGGGCCCTAGATTTCTGGAGATAGTAGACAAGATAGCTGTAGCATTTGACAAACCAGGGTGGACATCATGACCATCAGCACGAGCAACTGCTCCAGCAACTACACAACCCAAGTTATCGCCCCATCCTTCGTATGTACACATAACAGCCTCTTTATTTACCAGCACAAACCATGACTTCCCACCACAGGAAAAATCCTTCCCCGTCTGACATGTTCTCATGAGTGATGAGACTGCTAGCTGCATTAGCTTTCCATCGGGGGACGCCGATCCATCAACGATACGTAAAGCGGGATGCGGCTCACTGTAGTGTCTTGCCAACCTCAGCACGGCATGACACCATCCTGCTTCACTGCTGTCCTTTGACTCCGGAATCTTGCAGAAGTCATCGTCGATGTACGCATCTGCAACAAGTTTCTCGTTGAAGATGTCGAAACTTTCCATGTCCACTTGTGCATCAAATGCCTCCTCTCCCTCACCCTTACCCCCTGCCATCAAATGTGCGAAAATGTTGCGACATGATAACAGGGTTTTCTCTGTTGTCACCATCATAAACAAATGACCTCTCAAATTTTCTCTCAACGGCTTTGCTGGGGGTAGGATCCTCTTCCTGGCCAGCGGAATGAGATGAGTTCTGGAGCGTCCACTGCAGGATTAAATCCTCTGCTTTCACATCGTGCTTTGTTACTTTCTCTGAACCGCTATCCCCTCTGAACATGGCCACAACAAGTTTGGTTTGTTGATGATTACGATCACTACTGTCCTCCTCCTCCTCTACACAACTCTTCTTACACTCTGCGGCGACGGGATCTTAACCCTGCTGTCGCTTGCGTTGCCTATCAACCTCTGTAGGAGCTGCACATATGGCTTGTGCTGCGCACTCGATTACACAATCTTGAACTAAGGTTGACATTGCATTGGACACAGGAGGAGGAGCTAAGGAGTATGTCACTGTTTCCCCTCCTGCAAGCACATTTGTGATCACAGGATGAAGGATGCAGTGAATGACATTTCTATCGCATTTACTTCTCCTGGTGAAATCCATAATTTGATTCAGAAGGAAGTACTCAATTCCATCAGCAACAATGACAGGCAACTCTGCAAGACAAGCGGGTTCCACACAATTTTTTAAGGGCAACTGCGACAAGGATAACACCTCGGCCGCGCCCGGTTTCAACAGGGCGGCATTGAAGGGTAGCCTCAATTGTGCGGCACGTATCTTCGATTGCAGTTTTTTCCTAAACGTGGGTTTTGTGTACATGCCACCCTTTTGGTGTTTATTCATATCGACATCCTCCTGTTCTGTGATCCAATCCAGAAATGGTTTCTCCGTGTAAGATTGTATGTCAATCGGTCTGTTGGGGTGGGAAACCGTTGTCCTTTCTAGGAGGGGTGAGTGATGCAGTCTGTCCAGAAAGACGCTTGCATCCTGTATGTTGTCGAGGTTGCGAGCAACATTTGCATCGACATTGATATGCACATGAAAATAACGAGGAACCCTCTGTCTCAAGTCCTGCAATTCGGCGTCGGAGTTATAATGCATAGAGGGCGTGACAAACTGCATCACCGTCTCTACCGCAATGATGTCATGTGAGGCCGACATACCTTCTTCCGCCTGTGAGATGCAGCTGGTTACGAAACGCAGTTATCGCCGTCCAATCTGAAGTTCAACAAACATCGAAAACAATGGAAAAACAAGTTATATACATATAATGTAAGACGAGAAAGTCGGCCTATGAGGTCGACTTTTGCTTGCGTACACACTCATGTGTGAGCAGTCATGTGTCGTCCCCAGACAGGGTGTCGGGCAGGGACAGTGCAGAGCAAAAAAGAAAAAAGAAGAAAAAAAATATATTATCACGAATATACCAAATAATTACGGGAAAAAAAAAAAACTTGTTGTCATCCTTCATGTCACACATCGATTGCAAATGACCTATTTCTGTATGTCCTCTAATATAAAGAAAAAAAATTAAATCAATAAGTAAAAATACCGAATATATATTCTCATCAACAATAACCTGCAATTGCATACCCCCCCTCTCTCACCCCCTCCCCCCCACACACAAAAGAGATATTACTTGTGAAGAATTCAATAAAAGCAATTCGAACAAAATTCGAAGGGTGCCGGGGAGACCACCTCCAGCATTTTGAGGTGACCTCCAGACGAACAGATAAGTACTCACTCATCGGGTCCAGAGACTCACAATAACCTTAACACATGCGACACATTGACAAGGGAACGCACACATAGATCAAAGGTTTGCGTCGGACGTCGTAGTTGAGGTTAAATGGGCGAAAGGTTGTGCAAAAGAGAACGRCGCACCTGCCGCCCACAACGATAGAATCCTATGTACTGCACCTTTCAGTCGTTATCAGTTGCTCCTGTCTCAACGGATGCTGACTCACTTGCGACCTGGTAGTTGAGGGCGAATGGACCCACTTCCCTTTGTAAGGAACCCGGGTCGGCAGGTGCGCTGTCTTCTGACGTGCACGGGGAAGGTTGTGCAAAATAGAACGGCGCACCTGCCGACCACAACGATGCAATCCTATTTACTGCACCTTTTGCCCGTCATCGCTAGGTCCCGTCTCAACGAATGTTGACTCACCTGCGAAGAGGTAGTTGACGGCGAATGAGTCCACTTCCCTTTACAAGGAACCCGGGTCGGCAGGCGCGCTGTCTTTTGACGTGCAAGCGAAAGGTTGTGCGTAAGAGAACGGCGCACCTGCCGACCACTACGTGTGTGTGTGTGTGCGTGTGTGTGTGTGTGTGTGTGCGTGTCTGTGTCTGGCTATCTGGCCGTGTGTCTGTCTGTGTCTGGGTGTCTGTGTCTGTCTATGTCTGTCTGTCTGTGTCTGACTGTGTGTGTCTGTGTGTCTGTCTGCCTGTCTGTCTGTTGTGTGTGTGTGTGTCTGTATGTGTGTGCGTGTGTGCGTGTGTGTTTGTCTGTGTGTGTGTCTGTGTTTGTGTTTGTCTGTGTATGTGTGTGTGTGTGTGTGTGTGTGTGTGTGTGTGTGTGTGTG